CAAAACATCGGCAGGGATTCTAATCATTTTCTGCATTGTAGAAAATGGGTGTCATTTTGCGTAAACGTGGCGCGTTGAGTTCACTTTCTTGCAATAATACAACATGCGGGTGGAAGGAGCAAATGGTGGAAGTGCAACTGCAACACCACAAATGGGCATGTCCGACAGCATTGGAGAAATTAAGAGGCATCACTTCCTTCGTCACCCGACCACTTACCCATTAATGATATTCAACGTCAGTGGTGAAGTTGGTTACTAACTTTACATCATCCATGCGTGCGACTGCCACTACTAGGCAAATGCACGGATCGCACAGCGGTGGGAACGATTTGTTGGAAACAACTGGCTGCCCTACGGAGAGGCTGAATTCCATATGAGTGGACGTGGCATTACTTCTGTGACTTGTGCTATGATCATTAGCAGTAGTCGCATTAATTTTGACTTTACGCTTACACTTTCCTAAATACAAGAAGGGCAGAATCCTTTTTATGAGAGACAAACATAAACTGCGCTTAGCCAAGCGACAAATATAAGAACTGGATATGTGGTGGAGGTTACATAAGTGTTGGCACCACCAAAAACTTGGAAGTGTCAATTTGCTTGGAATGATCTGTGAGAGAAAGGGGACGTTGAGTTTCAAACAACACAAACCGCATTTATCTCCTCATCTTCTCCCTGAACCTCCCCTGCCAACCTGACATCCACTACGCCCTTGACTACTTTTGCCCATTTGATAACACCCTGTATATACTACTGCCTTGTGTCCTGAAGCAAATGTTCGCTAATATGGGAAAAAGCGTCGTGTATCTACAGTTCAGGAGAGGAGCAGAGGGGCAGAGTTGAAAAGCACCACTGGAGCATTATCACGAGCTTACATACCAGTGATTTTATGAGCGAATTGTTGTTGCGTTTAAACGTCATTTCAAATAACTTCAACCATAGACGCCCAAATGGAATAGAAATTATTTTATTTCATAGCGTCTATTTTCATCTCTTCGTGGTTTTAGACTGCATTTGAGAATTTGCCGAATTATTACATTGACGTAAACTATATATATACGGCACCGATAACACCAGACAGCATACCGTACCATCACTATGGAGTCAAATCGGCCAAAATGTAAGGCAGATTGGTCAAAATTAATGATAAACGACTGGTGGTAGTGGATGAATTGTGGCTGCGTAAGTGCCGAGTACATTTAATTTCAACTAGGTCTGCGTCAATGCACTGTGTCAGAGCTATGTAAATTCCATAATTACTGACCGCTACTGCGCAACGTTTCAATCACATGAGCGGTTCACCCCATACCCTGGTGACGACATGGCCCGATTTAAGAGGACCTGTTCTTGAGCACTTTTTCGTGTTTTATACATCAGAATAGGCACAACTCGTTCCGACTATTGTAGCATAGAATCTTATCCTTGG